TCAGCCATTAGTAGGCATTATGCATTACATTACAACGCTAATAATCTATTTAGTATTGGGGATATCCGTTCTAACAGCTCCCGTTTTGCACCGATGTCCCGAGGCTGTTTGATTTTGAAATTCAAGGGAAGTTGCTGCTAATGCTAGAGCGGTTCCCCTCGTCTTCTCGGGTTTTTGTTACACTATCAAAAAAGTGAAACTTGCGCCGGTCCATTGCGAGGGATTTGAAGAGAGCCTTGGCGCGGATCCAGCACAGCTGGGGACCCCAGCCGTGCGCATACCTCGCAGCGCCGCGTCCCAGCTGAGAGGCCGGGCGAAGCGCCAGCCCCCCGCGGTCCCTCGACAAGCCGACACGCCGTGGGGCCCGCACGTTCACCCGCGCGCAAGCAACAATGTGCCGCAGTGTGCCCGAGTTACGTCACATCCATTTGTGTAAACAATTTTTTTTTCCGCGCGTTTTTATGACCGCACATTAATTACATTTCTGTAATTATTGCATTATGTGGGAGGCCGATGTAATTTACTCCGAAATATGTAAAACAAACATAATTAATGTTGTATGCTGCCATTACAAGTACCGATGGGATTAGGCGTTATGTGACGGCCGCATCGAGACGGAGGGGCACGCGTGCGGCGATTTAACATTGATGTTGGGCTTTTCTATTGATAACTGATTGTGATTGATGATGCATCCGTGCCCGCAGGAAGAAGGGACGCATCCTTGGCAGTGCGATGCCGTCCGGCATGCCCGGTGTGCGCACTGACGAACAAAACCCAAACCGCTGATGGGATCTCTTCCTGGAAGCAGTGAGGCAGCCCGAGCAATTTGTGTCATTAGCAGAGTAATTGCTTGGGTTGCATCAGTCTGTTCATTACGTTCAAAGCAATTATTGTCATTAAGGATGTAAGCCTCAAAGTCTCAACAAAGGCTGACCGGAGTGACTCGAGGCGTATAATGTTCGTCGTTGAAGCTCGGGTTGGTGGCTCAGAAAGGGACGGGTGCTTCCTTATATTCTTCATGCACTATGATTAAAATAACAATAATAGTTTACAACCCTTTGCCAGTCCTTGGCTGGATGAATGCTTCCCACATCATGTCAGTCATGGGGGTTATTTAGCGAGGTTCACCGCTTATACTCCACCCAGAAAGAGTTTTCATTACAGATTGCTTTTAGAATGTTCTTAGTGTATTGTAGGGGTACAACAGTCAGGAATATAACGTAAAAATCTGAGTTAATAAACAGTATTAAGCAATGGCGGAGCCAGGATTTTCAGGTAGGGGGGGCAACCCCTCCAGCAATGAAAAATGATAGAGGAGTTGTTAGTGAGTAAGGACTTGTTACCTGCTTTTTATTCGACGCGTCTGCGGTGATGGCGCAGCCATCGATTGAGGTTTGAATTCGAACCTTGTTGTGTGATCGGCATCGCGCTCGCTGAAGGTGAATGCCTTCACGGAAGTCGTGTACTGTATACGCAACTGCGCACAATTCTGTTACTTATTGCCAATTATGCACTCAGACTATTGTCTTATCATCTCATAGAGTCCCTGGTACGTAATAATATGCTACACAGTTTGCAGTGGGGGTCGCAAAATGTCGATTTATTACTAATAAACTCCAATAATCTGATCGAAATTAAGAATTTCGATCGGATCATTGGGGGGGCACGTGGCACCCCCCCCCCCCCCACTGGCTCCGTCAGTGGTATTAAGTTTAGATAATACACTTAATACTGTTTATTAACTGTCTAATTGTGACACAATGCAAGATGAGTTGGGACTTTTCACAATCGTTTATCATCATAAATTATGTCACAGGCATGCTTTGCAATTCTGTGGGTTAAGAACATTCCAAAGCCATAAAATGTACAAATACACCATAATAAATTGTTCAATATGTGATTTAGCAGCACCACAACCATTATGATGGGTTTCAATTGCACAACGGTCCATTTTTTCTTGAAAATAATAAAAGAGTAAAATCCTGATCGCAGGTGCATTATGCATTGATAAATCGGCTGTAGCGAATACTTATTCATTGGGATTATATAAGAGGTGTTGCCTACTATAAATCACCGTATACTAATAATGTGTCTTCAATTTGAGGGGCTGGCAGCGACTCTCACACTGGGCAAAAAACCTCAAGTTCTTATTGTACAAGAACACTGGGCACAATGGCCCTCAGCGCACTGTGCCAGCCAGTGGGTTTTATCGCATGGATGGCCGAACCAGCAAAACGTCCATTCAGTTTGGATTTAGTGTTCCCTGCAGTAAAAATGACACGTCTGCCCGAGCGCAGAGCAGTTATTTAATCAAGGGGGTCAGGTTTTAGGGCGAGGGAACGGCAGGGTCGGTGGGTTACGGCCAAGGCCGCTCAACCTTGAAGTGGCTTGGAGATACTCTGCGCTCGTAGACGAGGGTGTTCACACATGCACGTTGCCCGGCTGCACCCCCCCCTGGGTTCCCACGGGAGAGCAGATTTGCCCGGGCACTCACAAGATCACCGCGTCTGCCAATACTCGGGAGAGGAAATTGCAAAAGAAATCTGGTGATATGAATTGTTGCCCTCATATTTTTTCTGAGGAACTGCCAATACTCAGCACCATCTTTCTGTGCGTTTCTGCGCTGTTGAATAACAAAAACAAGCATCTTGGGCTTGACAAAGCTTTGTAGCTCTCCATTGATAAATGAAGTATTTTACATGCATTCGTCTTTTGTGTGGCTGATGTAGATGCAGAGCATCAACTACAATTTCACATTCAGGTGGTCAAGCCAGACAACTGCGTCAGGAGCAACGGTGGATCACTCTGATTTCTCCTTTTGTGCATTGAATGCATTAAAATATTTAAACTAGGATTTGTTTTTACAAAACAAGGATTTGGCTATGAAGTAAAATTCCAATCAACATCGGCTTCAAATATTCCTGCTTATGTTCTCGGTAAAATTTGTTAAAAAAAAAATAGACATCGCGCCCTCTGCATAGAAAAGTCATTGTAAGAAAATTCAGTAAATGGTCAGTATTATTTTTTTACTAAACCTTGCGCTTTTTACCCTCGTACCTGATGTGCTACAAGCTTGGGTAATGCGCTCCAGCCGCTGCACCACGTGTGAGTTGGGCAGAGAGTGGAACGCACTGTTCACCTGACACGGCTCTGGGGCGCGCGAGCTGCAATCGCAGCCTCGCCGCTCTTCACGTAACACGGGGCCTGACATTGTGGATGAAGCACTCAAGATATTCAATATATTAAAACAAAATCTCTTGGCAAGGCACGAATCATGCATGCCTGGGTCGAGTTTTTGCCCAAGTTGTTTTTTTTCCACGTCTATTGCCACCGCAGCAGATTGAATGCCAAGCAAACCAGCCAGGTGGCTCAGCATTAGAGTGAGCGGTTCGCAATTGGAAAGTTGCGAGTTCAAATTCTGGTTGGGAGTTCACTCAGCCCATCATCCCACGTTCGCTGGATATACTTGCCTCCTCCCCCCCACGCCACCATTGGTATATGGAATTACCACCACTGGCTAAGGGCTGGAAACAGGAGATGATTACTGCCCCGAATGCTCACTTCCACCGGATATCGCTCTGGCTTTGGCTTGACACGTGTATATGCCAGAGATGTGAAGCATTTCTATTTCTGTTTGTCTAGCTCGCTGGTGCTCCTCATATCACGATCAACCTGGGTTCAGGTCCAATGGTTACACTTCATCCGTGGTTGTCTGCTAATGAGCCGGAGCCTGACACCATGAGCCTGGGCCCTCCTTGCCTAGGCACGGAGGCGGGTGGACGATGGGTGACTGACTGTGTGGGAGGTTAATCAAGAGGACGATACTGATGGCCGTTGGTATTTCTCAATTAACTTTAAGTAATAATAATTAAATATGTATTATTTAAACTTGTAATGCACCACACAACATTCGCACGCCCTCAAAGAGAGGGAAAGAGAACGACTAAGAGGCACGAGGAACCGCAGACAAGCATGTAAATAAATAAAGTATTTTATTATTCTATACTACATCTCTTGCATGTCTCTGTTTGGTAGCAATTACATATCCTGTGGTCCATCATTCTCCCTCAGGTGGGCACAATGACTTAATTCTTAACCAATTCATTCAAACCTAATCCTCATAATATTTGTGAAACGTTACACACCAATTCCCTCTTTTATTCATGATGAATTATTTTTTGCATATCTATAAAATATATTTCTACTGAGATATCCCTTTCCAAAGAGCTCATTGATATCGGCGTGCTTTCACATTGAGTTCAATTAGTTAACCAGCTTATGGGGTGGAGCTGTGGTGCAGTGGTTAGCACACTGTGCAATGAACCTGGCTACCTGCGTTCGATTCCCAGCTCCAGCCATCATCAGTGGCGAGTGGTGTCTGAACGTGACCTGGGTTCTCTTTTACCAACCCACGGTGACCACAGTGTCACAAAGAATTTAGAAATGCAAAGCATTGGAAGGCCTTCATCCAGCAGTGGATTGACAAAGGGCTGTGAGTACGTAGTATTGGTAAGCAACTTAATTTAAATGAAAAACAGTTTTGCTTGTAGCATTGACTCGCAAGTATTTAATCTACCTATAGCGTAATCCTCAACTAATTATTGATGTCCATAACAGCTGCTTTCCATTTTTTACGATCTTCAGCGCCTCTCATGGACAGTCCCGTATAACATCTCACATTGTCCCACCAACTGCTCCGTTTTCCTTCCATATTTCCGTGAAAAATCATCTCTGTCGCGTTTTCAGCCATGAGCGTCGACTTAGCTTAAATCCTGCCATATGCCACCTGAATTTTCATCGCATTTCTTGGTAATGTTTGCTGCTATAAATTTACACATTATAAGCCACTATGTTGCGCTATCATTTGTGGCCAGGTCACTTCAGAAAAAGATATATAGAGCTCAGTGGGCCTTACCTGGTAAAATAAAACGTTGAGTTTAGCTTAATTCCTGCCCCGTGGCCGTTCTCTCTCGCTCTCCACTCTTTTCCTGACGCTGCAGACTTTGGGCCGGTGGAGTTGGCGGTGACGGCGAACGCCGTGGAGGAGCAACTGAAGGAGAGCGTGCAGCAGCAGCAGCAGCGCCGCCGTAGCAGACGTGGATCCAAGAAGGACGAGTACAACATGGAGGTGATGCTGGCCGTGGATGACTCGGTGGTGCGTTTCCACGGCAAGGAGCACGTGCAAAACTACCTGCTCACCCTCATGAACATCGTGAGTAGCACCACACCTATGCTTCCCACCACTATTATCATCATCATCACCACATTCGGTGAGCACTGTGCACTTCCGATTAGCGCAGTTGACGATGTACGGTGCGAAATAATTTCAACATACAAACATTATATAGGCGCCACAGTGACGAGATGTTAACTGCCTGGCTTGATATACCTCGATGCCTGTATATTTGGAGTTTGCATGTACTCTCTCCCTGTGGTCAGGTGGGTTTTTCTCCGAGTCCTCCAGTTTTTACCTCCGTTTAGAATCAACGTGCGTTTTGAGTATTTAGCTGGTAAATGTCCACGTGCATAGCCCCTTCGCTATCATTTGAACCTCATGGCGGTACCCCGGGATACCATGGTACCATAGTGCCCCGGCTCTCGCACAATGTCCGTGATGCAGTCATTTTTAATCTGTTGATGGTCGGCGATGCGGCAATCGATTCATCTCGACAAGCTTTACACGATGCACTATTCAAAGTTGTAATTTTCGATAACGGATTTTTTATGCTGATGTTTGTCGTTTTGACATCGCGGAGTAGCACTGATTTCGGATTGATTGGTACCCCAGTCGCGGAGTTAAGGACACCCCTGTCGCAGAAATAAAATATTTAATTGCCTCGGCCACTTTGTATTATTCGGTACCCCGAGGTACCGCCATAACGATAATTTGTGGCCAGGTCATTTCTGGAAAAAGAGAGCTATATAACTCAGTGGGCCTTACGTGGTAAAATAAAACTTTTTTTACAGCAGCCATGATCTATCCACTGCTAAATGAAGGTCTCTCCCCAAGCCGTCAGCATGAGTTTATCTAATCACTCCATCTGCGCTGTGGGCGTGTTCTTAAACTTAATTAAACGATTTTAATTTTACTAGGTAAGGCCCACTGAGCTAAATAGCAGTTTTTTCAGAAGCGACCCTGCCAGAAATGAAAGCAATCATCACGTGGAAATTCATAGCAGACAAATATTCTAAAACTCATGTTTCTAAATCTGGAGGGGAAAACAGGAGTTACCTGGAGAAAAAATTCACCTGACCACGGGGAGAACATGCAAACTCCAAATATAGAGCAGGTGTCAGGGTCAGGATTGAACCCATGACCTCCTGCATAGCAAGTGATGTAGTTTACACCGCAGCAACCCTGCTCTTGGACGTGCTCCTTTCCTGTCAGTCTTACTCACTGGCCATCGTCCCTTCTAGCGATGACAGGTCCTGCCCAAGCCCCACACTTCTGTCGGTCAATATTTATGATCTCTCTAACTTACATATATTGGCATCCATGTGTCTCTGGAAATAAGCATCTGACTGTTAGCAATCACATGCCAATGTGAGACTAATGCCAGTCTTTAAGCGACCGACAGAAGCAGTAAAAAATCAGCTACAAAAAGACACACACACAATGTAACTGTGTTACAAACATTCCAATGCTGAAAAATTACCCGCAAATGCCTCGAGTGAAATTACTCACAGCAGCAGTAGCAACCCCGACTGCGAAAACTTGACAGGACCCTCCTGAACGGGAGTCTTGAGACTCGGTGAGGCCTTCCTGGGTAAACAAGCCTTGTCATAATAATAATATGACTACCAGATTCAAAATACATCAATTGTGCCCCCAAAAGCTACTCCTTCACATGTGTAGTGTCAACGATTCAGAGACAGAGTTTCTTGGAGGCACTTTCATTTATTAACAACTTTCACGGTGTCATCCGCACACTCTCCACAGTAGCTCAGCCTAGCCTGTACACAACACTAGCCATCTAACACTGACGGCGCTTACTGAGATAGCCAACTACTATCCTTTGTCGCGCAATATCTAGCAGAGACGTTTAGCGACGACGGCGACGAGATGACAGCAACGACGAGATGAGTCCATTCCCAGAACCGGCAGCCTCGAGCCCCCCATTCTCGGCTCCTTTTATGCTCCCCGGCGCGGCCTGGCTCCGCCCTGACCGCGCCTCCCTTCTCGAACCCGCCAGCAAGTTCCAGGGGCCTCCAGACGGGGTCCTCCGTGACCCTTGCCCCAGTTTCTTCCCTCTGCCAACACACCGTGCACACCGTCACCGGCGTGTGTACTGTCTGTCCACCACAGTTGCCGCTGCTGTCCACCAGCCGGCGCTATTACACTACACATGTAATTTACAAACTTTTATTGATTATCCATACAATTAGCTATTTCATTCTTATATGTTATGTTTATTTATTTATTTTCACAATATATTAATTCATATAGATCAATTGCCGCCAAATTGTCGGCCACCCCTTAGATTTGCTATACAAAGCTCAAGGTGAGTCAAAACAGTTACTGGGAGGAACCACGTGGTTCCACCAGCCCACAGCGGATTATTGTGTCCGTCCGTCCGTCGTGCATCCAAAAATGGGAGGGGTGGAGGTGGGTGGAGAGGGGAGGGTGGGAGGGGCTGGGTCGGGAGGGTGGGGAGGGGCTGGGTGGGGAGGGTGGGGCTGGGTGGGGGGTGGGAGGGATGGGGCTGGGTGGGGAGGGGCTGGTCACCCCGTGGTGCCCTTATAAAACTCAACGTTTAACCTACTCACGCCGGCTTGTGCCCGCCCTCACAGTCGGCCATATTTGCGGAATACACCACGCCGCCGTTGACCCTGGCCATTAACCGAGCAACCCAACGTTCCTACCAGCTCCCTCCGCAAAAATGTGTTAACCATGTATAATACAACCTGATGGTGACGATCCTGCGATTGCACCAAAACAGCAATTACTCAACGCATTGGACTTCATTAATCCCCCTCTCCCAAGAAGGTTGTGCTCACAACAGAGGCTTCCACTACACCAGGCAGTTCATCTCACTCCGTGTTTCCTTTGGTCAGATGATCATTGTTGAGAGGTCACAGGGTTTTATCAGATTACACGTCTCACTGGATGATTAGAACGCAAAAAAAAGTTTATTTTTTGTTTGCATACACTGAAGCTTTTGTTAAAGTTCTACGGAAGTGTTGCATCGTGCACCAGACTCGAACGTGAATGAGGAATGACACAACGTGTAAACGATTGCATCAATCATTTCGAGAGTGAGCTGAATTGCTAATTAGCAGTAATCACGCTAACCGTACTCCATAATACATGTTGCAATTATTACATTGCACTGTGTAATTTAGTTCACCGATCGGCGTACGGGTCTTCAGGCATATGTAGTCTCACGCTCAGTTTAGAATCTTACAGAACATGGCTTTAAAAAAATATAAATCTTTTCAAATAAAGGTTTGCTCAAGCTGCAGTTCATTGCAGTAATCCCAAAACGGGTGCTTTCTGCGTCACATTTGATTTGCAATGGAGGCCAATTCTCTATCTTTTCATATAATTCTTTCCACACCCATTACCAACAGCTTATAAATATTTGAAGCCTTCCCAATATGGCTTCATGAATTCATAACTACCAATCTTTAAAATGCCATTCAGAATGAGGTTTTAAAGTGAGATTGAACCGGACTTTAAAATTTAAAGATATTTTAAACATGAGGGGAAGTTGTCAAAATATGTTTTTGTCAACCTCATGTCTGGTGGAGTGGCACACTTCTGAGCGAGTTTGCTGAGAGGGAAGAGCACAGATTGAGTACCTCTGAGATCCTGGATGCGAACCCAGGCAGCCGCCATCAGTACTGGGTTGGTGTTTTCAGCTCGGTTCCCACCGACGACTGCACAAAAACCCCATCAAAACTAAGTTTGGTTTTCCACTTCATTTGGCTAAATTCCAGTTGTAGGAATTAAAATATAGATTTTACTGTCATGCGACTAATTACAAGCAAACATATACAATTTATAATAATAGACTCCCATATATAATGATTTTATGCTTGTATTGTGAGTGTACGAATGCATTTTAACCTATGGATCGTTACACACCCCGTCATACAAAGCCCCATTACCACACAAGCAAATAAAATAACAACATTTCATTCTCAATTGGTGCATGTTTGCTGTCGTTCTGAATAGCGCTTCATTGTCTCTTCCCAAATGTGTTGACTCAGCTTAAAGTACTTGCAAGTTTGTAACAAAACATAAGCAGAGGTCAGAAGATGAATCTCAACCGATTCTTCTACCCACGCTCTACATTTGTCTCACCCTGTCTTATGTACACGACGTATGTTGAACCTTTTTTGCACCGTACATAGCCAATCGTGCTTATCGGAGGTGGGACAATATGAATGCCAATTGCTGAAAGCATTTCCTCAATGATGTTCCGATTTTTTTTTCGTGCATAGGTATGTGATATGAGTCTGCTTGTTTACCCAGGAAAGCCTCACCAAGGTCACAATACATAATGATGTTGCTATGTGTAATATAAATTTAGTAATTTGTAGGTATTTTCATTTGCATTTTTGTCCAATGAAAGTTACATTGTATGATATTTTTTGCTCTGGGATGAAACCGGACATCCTGGAGGAAACTCATGTAGAATAGGGGGAGAACATACAGAATCGACACACTCACGCTCTGCAAAACACGGGGAGAATATACAAACTTCACGCAGAAAGGTGCCCGAGTCGGGAATCGAACCGAGGGACGAATGTTACCACTTCCCTGCCCTGCCGATCGCGGCTGTTAGCTTCAGCGTGTTGTGTGCCATGTGTCTGCCAGAGGCTCCTGGAGTGGGCCCAAGCATTAGACAAACACTATGACATGAAAGCGATTTTATGACGGTGAATTCCTGGCTTGCAGCGAGAATATTAATGCTGCGAGCTGCAGCGAGGCGAGAACCCGCTTTCTGCCCTTCCCGGCTGAGACACGCGGACGATCCTATCAGGATAATTTTCGATGGAATTGCGCCAAAAAACAAGAGTTATCTGATTCAAAATAAGAACAACCGCTCCGTGTATATGATATATAAAACTTTCATCTGGCATTTTAATTTGTGAGTTTATTTATGTTTGATTTAGCTAAATAATATCTTAAATATTTGCACGACTTTAAAATGTAAATGAATAGCTCGCAGTGTGGTTTCCTCTTATATTCTTTGGTTCTTTCGG